TTTAATATTTGTATCAATCGTGGCAAATTTCCTGACCTTATGAAACATAGTAAAATCATTCCGGTGTTTAAATCTGGTAGTACTTCCGACCCCAATAATTTTAGACCTATCTCTGTACTGCCAACTCTTAGTAAAATTTTTGAAAAAATCATGTTGAATCAAATGTTACAGCATTTTAGCTCTCATAATTTATTACATAACAAGCAATATGGGTTTACTAGGGGTCGCTCAACAACTGATGCGGGTGTTCAGCTCGTTATGAATATTTTTGAAGCCTGGGAAAAGTCGCAGGATGCCTTAGGAATATTCTGTGACTTAACCAAAGCTTTCGATTGTGTACAGCATGAGACCTTGGTCAGGAAACTACGCCACTATGGTATAAGAGATGCCGCACTCAATCTTCTGAAATCGTACTTGAGCCATCGAATTCAGAGAGTTGACGTGAATGGCAAGAGATCTCCCGGGGCCTTGGTAAATATGGGGTCCCGCAGGGATCTATTCTTGGGCCTTTTCTCTTCCTCATTGATCTACCTTATCTTGTTAATAATAATCATGAGATAGTATTGTTTGCGGATGATACCTCTTTAATCTTTAAAGTAAACCGACGTTCTTTAAGTTATGACGGTGTAAACAATACTCTATCTACTGTAGTACATTGGTTTAGTGCTAACAATTTACTGTTGAATAATAAAAAAAACTAAATGTATTAAATTTACAACTTCCTCCAATGTTAAACATGTAAAAACTGATGTACTTTTATATGGGGAAGCGTTGGACCCTATTGACTCAACTGTATTCCTTGGCATAACTATTGATGCCAAACTGCAATGGGGCCCCCATATTAATAGACTGGCGAGTAGACTTAGCTCAGCAGCTTTCGCGGTCAAAAAAATAAGACAGTTAACTGATGTTGATACGGCTCGCTTGGTATATTTTAGTTATTTTCACAGTATAATGTCTTATGGCATTCTGCTTTGGGGTAACGCAGCCGACATTAATACAATCTTTATCTTACAAAAGAGAGCTATTCGTGCAGTTTACAATCTGGGCCCCAAAGAATCGTTAAGAAACTTGTTTAAAGAGATAAAGGTATTGACTGTTGCTGCTCAATACATTTTTGAAAATGTTTTGTATGTCCATAAAAATAAGGATAAATTTTTAAGACATAATAATGTTCATGATATAAATACTAGGAACAAAAATAAATTGATCCTACCCACAAGTAGACTCCGTAAAATAAGTAAATCTTTTATGGGACAATGTATACGTTATTACAACAAAATTCCAGAAAACGTTCAAAATGCATCAATAGCTAAATTTAAAAAAATAGTAAAAGAACGTTTGTGTGTTAAAGGCTACTATAATATTAATGATTATTTAAATGATAACACACTCTGGTAATGAACTGATCGCTCCAGGCTCTTTCAATCGGAGTTCTTATATTGTATTTTAACGAATTTCTGTCAACCTGCTTATTTAAAAAAAAAAAAAAAAAAAAAAAAAAAAAAAAGGCCGCTGAGTTTCTTCCGGTTCGCCGGTTCTTCTCAGTACAGTGGCTTTCTTTTCCGAACCGGTGGTAGTGTTTTGACTATCAATAAGTGAGTGTAATGCTCCTATGTTGAATAAATACATTTGATTTGATTTTGATTTTGATTTTGATTGATTTTTAACCTGAAGTTTTTGAAGAATCTTCTGTTGAAATAGAGCTATCTTCAAACAACGAAAATCATAAAATGCATGAAGCAAGGGAGGAAGAACGTGAGAAACAATGCGAGCCAGAATTTAATCTGCCAATATCTGAAGTTGAATCTCAATCTGAAATTCACATTGAACCAGAAGATTTCATAGAACCAGTAATTATACGCAGGCACTTAGATTGGATTTTATCAAGTTTACCAAGAGCCAGCTTACTACAAGGCTCCAAAATGAAACAGCCGTAATCAAAGTGGCTACGAATAATAGCATTGTAGAGAATTTTTGAATGAAAGGATGAGAGCCCCAACGAACTCCCGATAAGGCTCTGAGGAAATTGGTATTTTTCTCACACTTAGAATATATATACTTGTAAATGGGGAATACCAGTCATGTTGGAATCAAGGATGACTCCCAAAAGCTTTGCCTGGCTCTTAAATAAAATTGGTTCACCATCTACAGATAAATGCAAGAGGGGAATATTCCGTTTTTGACTAAAAATAACTGCATAGGATTTAGGAATAGACAGACTTAGACCGTGATCTTGAAGTCAATCATTTAGATAACCTAAGGCGGTAGTTACTTGAGAACATCCATTAAACAGGGAGGAGCAAGTTGTATACAAGGCTATGTTATCTGCATATTGTAGGATTTTGCAGAAGCTGTATACAGATAAGTCAAGATCAGCAGTAGAGAGATTGTATAGGAGGGGACTTAGGACTGAGCCTTGAGGGAGACCCTTCCAAAGGAGACGGGAAGAAAGGAGAGAGCCCTGATAGCGGGCACAAATAGAACATGTAAGTAAATTAAAGATAATGTTAATCAGCCTCACAGGGATATTCAGATTGAGCATTTTCTGCCTAATTATTGGAAACTGAACATTATTATTAGCAGACGAGATGTCAAGGAAGATCCCAATAACATGCTTATTATGAGAAAATGCAAGTCTTATATCAGTTGATAGGATGCCAAGACTATCCATAGTGCTCTACTCTCAAGGATCCACTCTAATCTATTTTTGATAAGATGCTCTACGATTTTGGCCATAACAGATGATAAGGCAATAGGCCGAAATGATGATGAGTCACTAGGGTCTTTATTGGGTTTTAAAATTGGAATAATAATTTGAGTCTTCCATGACTCTGGAATGCATCCAGAAGAAAAAAATACGTTGATAATATTAAGGAAAAATAATTTTGACGAACTTGAAGATTTTGTTATAAAAGAATAAGATATACCGTCAAAGCCTGGTGAAGAATCTCGAAGATTATCAAGGGCACAGCAGAGCTTAGACTAGGAAAAAGGGTGATCCATTCTGACGAATGGAGAAGAAAGAGAAGGAGGGAGGGGAAAGCAATCATGAGAAGGAACAAATGGAGGAGCTAACTTATCGATAAAATCGTTTAGCCAAACGGTAGAATCACTGGGACATGATTCTTCCGATTGGCTGTCCAAACATGACCGTCTGGCCATGTTTTGGTCAGCGAAAATACCACCGAAATGTGAGCCATACTGCAGTCATAGAGGAACGGAGGGATAACGATTCGCATATTCTAAACCACCCCTGAGACTTCTTTCTTGCCAAAATTCTTTTTGTTTTGGCACAGACCTTGCAAAAGAGAAGAAAGTTCTCCATGCTCAAATCATCCGCATAAGCCTTCTCAGCTTGATTTCTAAGTTCAACGGTAGTAGAGCACTCCGAACCCCACCATGGGGAGAGGGAATACGACCACTGGAAGCGTTTTTGAGGGGTATGGAATCTTCTGCCGCTGTAATGATACAAGCGACATAATCATTATATAAAGATAAGAAGCTATCATTTGGCAGGAGGAAGGAGGCTAATTTTGGAGTCTAAAGTTTCAGAATACTTATCCTAGTCAGCGTCTGAGAGTCTAAAACGTTGCAAAGGTGGAATCTTAGGAGTGGGAGGTGAAAATTGTAGAAAATTGTTGAAAATAATCACTGCCAAATGAGTTATGAAGTACTGTTTAAGAGAGAGAGTTTATTAGAGAGGGGCATGAAAGGGTTAAATCAGGAGCATTCTCATTTTGACCAAGAGGAGTCCTTCGAATTGTAGATCCATCGTTTAGAATGCACAAATTGTTATCATCTAACAGGTTAAGGAAGAAAGAAGAGGAACAATCTGAATGGTTTGAGCCCCACATAGGATGGTGACAGTTAAAGTCACCAGAAACTATGAGGGGACCAGGGATAAAAGAGAGAATGAAGTTTAGTTCAGAAATCACGGAACTATTGGGATGAGGGATGTAGCATGATATGAATGTAATATTTTTAGCTTTAACCGCCACTATGTGCAAATTACAGGTATGGGAAGGGATAAGGATTTGGGAGAAGGAGATAGATCTTGACACAAGAACGGCACAACCTGCTTTTCCGTCATCCCTGTCATCGCGAAAAAATGAATACCCCGACAGCCTGAAAGCAGACCCCAGTTTTAACCATGTCTCCTAGATGGCGAGGACCACGGGTTTGAAGCGATTTATTAAATAAATGAGTTCTGATTTCTTTTTCGCACTTTAACTGTTTGGGAAGCCGATGGACACAGGCACGAAACACGCATCAACACGGATTTTTACGGAACATTGGTGACATTGTTATGATTACCTGATGTTGATTCATTGTATTATTTGTTGTTCATTTTATTTATTTATTGTACTTTGAGGTATTTATTTAAAGAAATAATAATAAATTTCTAAAAAGTCAAAACTTATGCCATTAAAGAGAGACAAATTATATTATATGGCAAGTTGGTAAAGCAAGTGACAGGCAGGAGTAACGTCATCGCAATTTTAGATCCGTTGTGGCGCGAAAATTTAAACCATCAATTAGAAACAGCATTTTTTTTACAATAAATGACAGTATTTTAATTTTTTAATATACTTGTGGTCTATTCTACATGAAATCCATTCAAATAAAACTGAAAATATGAAATATTGCACCTTCTTCTGATTCAAAAATGAAAATATTGCACCTTCCCTATTTGGCATCTAAGACGGTTTGCTTTTGCCTAAAAAAAAAAAAACAAGAAAATAAAAAAATAATACATGTCAAATTCTAAGCCGTGCTTGCCTAAATATTAGATTGGTTCATTGGTTGTATGAAGATTCACGTCTGATGCATATAATCTTAGTAGTCTGTGTTTCATATTCTTAAATCTTAATGTTATTGCAGTTAAGAGAGAGAAGAAGGAATAAAGAAAGAAAGAAAGAAGAAGTTATTGCAGTTTGCATATGATGCCTAATTTAAAACAAAACTGTGCCTGGAATCACTGCATATTTGTTTAAATAATGGATTTAGGGGGTGACAATTTAGATATTAGTAAGCTAGTAAATGTTAAGGGTAATGTAGATAATATTACTCCCCATAAAATAGCAGTGGTAGCTTTTATAAGAGAATATGGCTTATTGAAAATTGAAGGTAACTTAGACTTACATAGATTTCTATCTAGCAGATTCAATACATTTTATTTATTACTAATTCTCTTTTAGCAAAGAATATGATAGACTGCACTATGGCTCCTAAGTACAGAAAAGATTTTTGTATTCTTGCGCTTAAGTTAATCCAGGTATACTCATTGTGAATTGATGATGTTAAATTTACTTATAATGAACTTATTATCCTCTGATGTACGATCTTATTATCTTTTCAGTGCCCGGACATGGAATTTAAAGACTTAGAGACGCTTTTAACAGATGGACGGTACAATTTGTTAAGTGTACATTTGGAAAATTTTTGTGTTCGTCTTAAAAACATACATGTGAATGGTATCAGTGCACTCATGGACTGTGTCACTTCAACTATTGACAAGTTAATGATTGAACAAAATGAGACAAATCCCTGTGTTATTTCTAGGTGCAGTGTTTTAGGTAAACATACTTTTTAACTTCACCCAAGGTTTATATTGCACTGATATGTTTAAGATAAGAAAATTTAACATTAAAAGTTCTACAATATAATTTAAATTTTCAAACATTTATAAATTTCTAATGGCCAGTTTCAATGTGCTATCTACAGATAGGTTTGGTTACTAGCGATAGGTATTTGATATTACCTCCATAATAAAAGTAACAGGCTATTATTATGTTCCACTGCTAGGCAAAGGCCTGAAGGTTGCCTGGTAGAAATGTCGGTATAAAGTAACAAATGCAAAAATAATATTTTTCAGAGCTACATTGTGTTATAGTGTTATTTTTGTTTGACATTAAATAAAATACATTTGCAGCAATGCCTAAAGTATTATGCGATGTGGTGTAAGGAAAAGTACAAATTTGACAAAATTCTATGTTTTTTTCAATACTTTTCTTCTCAAAAACTGTACTGCTCCAAGTTAAAACTTGGTGTGTATGCTTATAATAATGTATCCTTTCTATAAAAAAAACTAACTGTGGCACTCTGGGACTGCCGGGGTAAAGCTATACAGCATGTCTTTATCATTGCGACAATAAATGAACACACATATAGAGGAAAACTTTTTAAAATTGTATTAAACATTTACTTTCTTTAAACATCAATATTTACAGAGTTATTAAATTTTCCAAAATAAAGAATTTTAGAACAACCTTATGTATAAAACTGTAACGTAAAGTTCATTTGAAAAGATCACAAAGCATATGAATGGGTTGAATGAATTTAAAAGAGACAAAACATACTGTTAGAAGGAGAGGCTTGTAATGCGACGATGTGGCGCGAGTTGTATAGGATGTTACAAATTTTGTTTCTTTTTTACTTAATTAGTTTGAACATTAAAATATGTAGAAAAAGTGCGAAAAGATTGTCGCCGCTGTGGGAATCGAACCCACGTCTTCGGCATTCGCGGCCTGACGCTCTAGCCACTGAGCTAAACGGCTGATTACCACATCGACGACATTAATTAGTTTGTTTGAAAAATATATTTTTTTATAATTATGGATTTTATTTAACGTTAATATTTTTTTATGATTATTGGAAAGTAGCGTTAGACGTGTGTTCATTTATTGTCGCCATGGTAACGACATGCTGTATATTGCATAACATTTTTTATGAACTTACGCAATTATAATTATTTAATTATTTTTTATTTATGCAGTATTTTTTTTTCTTTGATATTTCAAGTTTTTTCTTTGATATTAATTCAAGTTACATTTTCTTGAGTGTGGTGACCGATAAGAAAACAATTTTTTTTCTTATATTGAATAAACGAGAAATTATTATTGTTTAGAATATTTTTATTAAAAAAATACCTGTGACAATCGTCTCGATCCGAGCGAGCTTCGTACAGTCGTACCATATACATACACGTTAAGCGAACGCTCGGCCGAGCTACATGGTAGGCGGAGTGGGGGGTGTTAGGTTTTATTTTCGTTTCGGAATTTCTTGAGTCGGTCGCCCCGCTCAAAGCCCGCGATAAATGCTATGCAATAGCTTAAAATATCAATCCCTAACTCTATGGATGTCAATGGAAAACTGAGTTGAGGGCATCTTTCACCGTGCAGTCCCACTGTGGATTGGAGAACTTCATATATCTTCGAAATAATTTTTTTGTTATTCGAAAATACGCAGGTTTCCTCAGTATTTTTCTTCACCGATGAGCATTTTATAACTCAGCACTTGAAATTAACAATTTAGTTGGTGCTCAGGTTGCTTGAGTATATGGCATTAAATGTGAGCGCCCCAGGCGATGAGCTAAAACGGCTCTTAGTTCCATAATACTTATGTCAAAATCTCCAGTAACCAAATCTATCTGTAAATAGAATATTGAAACCGTTGGTAATTTGTATTCATAATAATCTGAAAACATTTTTCTTTTTGAATAACAGTTTTAATTTTTTTCAGTTTCATTTAAATTCTCCCATAAATTAGGGACTCTTAGTTAGTAAACATGTTATTTTCTCTTTAAGGTTTCTACTTGAGGCGTATAATGTTGCATTTGGATAAACTTACTTTTGTTCAAATTGTGTCTCTTTACAAGTCATTTTGTCAATATTATCAAAAAGGTAGACCTGGTTTAATGATGCGATCAGTAAGCAAAGAGGTATAGATTATTTTCATTTGTGATATACATAAATAACAATATTGAAAATAATACATTTAATACCAAATTATGTATGTATACCAATATTCAAAATTGCAGAAACTTAACAATATGGAACCAGCGTTTGTAGCTTCATCTTCAGTGTCACCTGTGCTGCCTGAAGAATGGAAAGCTCAAGAAGTTTTTATGAGAATGAATGTAATGGAAAGAGAAAAGTAAACATTTTAATTCATATATAAATAATAATTTGAATAAAAATTTCAATTCTAACCTTTGATATATTTAGCAGTCTTGAAGAATGTCAATGGTCAAGAAAGCAAGCAGAGTTATTTACTGCTCAACAAGCAAATTTATTACAAATTAATGAAAAAAAAGCGTTTCCACCTAGACAACTTCAGAGAACTATTATGCAAATCATGAAGGATATACCAGATTATTCAGATATTGTAAGTAATTTTAATTTGTGCAATTTATATTTGTCAGGATTCATTTAATAAAAGTAATATTTACTGTACATTTTCAGCATTTCTTAAGTTTTTTGAATTGTATTAGAATGAAGGAGTTTTGTGGTGCTCAAGATTCACTGTACAATTGTTTTGATAGAACAGTGTTTAAGTATTTGTGGAAGTACAATTAATGGTACTGATAAGAATAAAAACTTTCGTTATGCAGCTCTAAATCGAGCTGCAATGCACACACATTTTGGCCATTTGTAAGTTACCTTTCTAATTATAATTAAGACATTTTATAGTGGTTTCGCAGTTATAAATACATATTATATATTAGTGAAATATGGACCATTATGTAAGTCTAAACAAACAATTTGAGAAATGTATTTATTAAGTGACATAAGAAAAGATATTCCTTACAAAAGAGTAGTAAAAAAGATGGAATGCCCTAAAAGCTACTAGTAATAAAAGCAAAAGTATTTAAATTTTAAAGATCTATTAGATATTAAGAACAAAAGTTCCTATTTCATTGATAACAGCAATTGCAGTAACTCAATTGAGTTTTCTCACATAAATGTGCTAATGTATTAACATTAAGCTAGTAAAAAAGGTGAAAACACTTATTAAAAAATATTTTATAACTATCTGAGTGTATGTAGAAGTTTAAATTTCTTTATTTTTTTGTTAAGTTTGCAATTCTTAACAGAATTATAGCACTGAAACTGTAAAATTATTCTGCTGACTTAATCAAATAGTTATAACGAGTTCTGACAATTTACAATTTCAGTTGATCAATCAATTTGAATAAAAGAAAGAAATGCCTATCAAAGCAGTGTCATGATCATTTGGTAACTATTCTCTTGGGGAGTAAACATAGTTACAGGGGGGTCCTTAGCTATTTAAACCCGATCTGCAGCCCATTTCAAATATTACGCGTGTTTATTTCCAAGCGATTTGGCGATGGAGGGCGTCCACGAGGCGCTGAGTGCGGCGCAGGAGGCGGCCGACACCTCGTGTCTGGCGCACGCGGCCGCCTGGGGCGCGCTGGCGGGCGGCAGGGCGCGCCGCTCGGCGCTCTTGGCGCGGCTGCCCAGTGCACCGCGCGTCGCCGGCGCCGCCGCACAGCTGATGGCGCAGCACGCCGCCGTCAACGCGGCTAATCCGTGCGAGGTTTTTCAGGTGATCGCTTCCTTTGCGGTTTGATCAAGTGTGCACTACCTGTGTCTGGGGTCGGGGCTTTCTTAACCGAAGTCTCGGACCGGGTCGACTAAACTTTTTTTTTTTTTTTTTTTTTACTTGGGAAAAATCCTTTATGGATCCCCTGCCGCCTTGTGGGTAGGCAACAGGGGTATGTGGGAGTTACGGGGTACCCACTAAAAAAAACCACGTTGCACCTGCGCTATCGCTTTGCCGGGGACACGGGAACACGAAAACGCAATCTTCCGCGAACCCCGGCGCGACTGTGGCTTCTCAGGCCTCCTCTGTCCGGGTGCTTAGACACCCGATCCAGCCAAATGGTGCCGTGTCGGTGCAATGAGCACGGCATCCCTCTCAAGCCCTCCGCGGGGCAGCAGTTAGTCCCACATCTGCTGCCCGGGGGCTTGCTATCAGGGGGGAAGGTTGCGCGCGTAGGCCAGCCTCCTGCGCCCTGGTCTCCGGCGGCGGATTTCCAGGGTGGCAGTTGCCTCCCTTTCTCGCTGAATTTTACCATCAAACATCGCGCTAAAACCAAAAATTTCATCCACAACACCTCGATATCCAGCGTTCGACAACAGCGCGATTTTCAAGGCATTTCCTGACTCACACGACCTCTCTGTGAACCATTACGACCCTGGAACCTTCAAGTAGAGAGCTTACTCTTTCCTAAAAGGCCGACAACGCATTTGTAAGCCCTCGGGTGTTGCAGGTTTTCATGGGCGGCGGTAATCACTTACCATCAGGTAAGCCTCCTGCTCGTTTGCCCATTTACTCCATTAAAAAAAATTAGACCACATTTAAGCCACCGTCAAGATTCGCTCGCCGCTTTAATTTTTTTTATAAAGTAACTTTTTTCGGTTATATTGTTCTGTGTTTCGCTTCACTTGTATATAAATATTTAAGAATGAAAAGTCGATGTAAGAAAATCTTTCAACTCTATATTTACCCACTTCTAGCTGTCCGATTTGCTTGAAAATTTGCACACGTATTCAGTTTTGATGCCAATGCAATAATTTCATAGTTTCATCCTAATATCCTGGTCAGGACCTCCAGGATTAAATCAAAATAATTTTATATGTATAATTTCAATCGATAAGTATTATTTGCCGAAACTTAGTAGTCTTACCATTGTAACATTTAGATACTGTTATAGTTTTAAAACGCCCAGGAAGAGCTACCATTTTTAATGAGGTTGCCTCCTCATTAAAAATGGTAGCTCTTCCTATAAATAACTAACAACTAACAGCCCCAAAAGTAAATTGGATTTTAAGTTAATAATACTAAGCCTGTGTCATTAAGGAGAGAAAATAGGCGATTTTGTGACACTAAGTTGTTTGGTTGCGTTGTGTTTCGTTTGTTAAGCCTACAAAATAAAATAAGTTTCTGTGGGCTCTACACCGACATTTTACGCCATTGGATTAAACAAACATTAAATAACATTGTTTTGAAGTAGAATTTTGATTTATATGGTTTAAAAAAATAATTCGACGATGAGTCGAAAGAAAACTCGTGTATATAAGAAATATCTCAAATTGCCAGGTGACAATTTTCAAGCAAGGCGGTGATTATTATGAAATATATCATTATCAGTACATATTATAAAATAAAGTCGTCCGCCGCGTCTGTCTGCTTGCGATAAACTCAAAAACGACTGCACTGATTTTCATGCTGTTTTCTTCTATGGATAGAGTAGTTCTCGAGGAAGGTTTTAGCATATAATTTGTCAAGTTTTCGTATACATTGGCTTAAATATTTGTTTTTTTTTGTATTCATTGGCAAAATTAATTATTGGAGATGCCGGAAAAAAATAGGCCGTATGGGAGCTTTCAACGAAAGCACTAAGAATAACAGAATGATGTATGGTATAATTATGTATCTGTTTGGCGAGTTCTTATTTTTTCCTCAATGCTGTTCGTAAACTGTCGTTTGGCAGCCGTGGTAATAGGCATGAGTTTATTATATCTTTCTTTCTTTCTTTCTATAACTTTGATTTTTTAGTTTTTTAAGGATATGGGGAGGTTACTTTTGAATATTTCTCTAAGATTCCAATATTTATTCCAGGTGCTGTGTGTACGTCTTTCGATTTTCTTCTCTTTCTTCTTTTTCTTGTTAAAACTTATTTGTTTGCCTTTATATTTAGGTTATTCTCGTACGTCATCGCGGTTATTAGGTTCTCTGTGCTGTTCGTCATCGCCATAGTTTTTACTAAATTCATTTGAAGGCTCACTTTTACACTTCATATAGAGATCCAATCATATGTTGGAGTTGGGAGCAGGTATTTGATAGTATCACTAGGTCATCTGCGAAGCGGAGGTGGTTAAGATATTTTCCCTTTAAGTTTATACCGTACTTCTGCCATTCAAATTGCCTGAAAATTCTCTATTCTAGCACTGCTTTAAATAATTTTGGTGATAGGGGATCTCAATGTCTCACACCTCTTTTTATAGGAAAGCTTGGGTCTTTTTTTTCCAGCTTGACTCTACCTGTGCTATTTTTGTAGACTCCTGATTAATTCTATATACTGTTGCTCTAAACCTTGGTTTTTGAGAGCTTCCCATATGCTATTGTGTGATATCGTAGCAAATGCTTTCTGACAATATAGAGAGGTCTCCGTTTCTTTTGATATTTTTCTATCAGTAGTTCCAGTGTATAAATGTGGTCTATTGTTAAGAACCCTTTTCTATATCCTGTTTGCTCACCAGGTTGGCTTAGTTCAAATGAATTACTTATCCTTTTGTTGATGATTGATGAGAACAGTTTGTAGACAGATGAAAGTAAGCTAATTGGTCTGTAGTTGAGATATAGGTGTTGAGTTGAATAAATTAAAAAATATAAATTATGCAAAATATATAGGTATGTAATGTTCAATACCGCTCTTTTACGACTATCGAAATTCATTAAGCTTCGTAAAATCTCTTTTTCTTACTTTATTTTTATTTTAACATATAATATGTATCCTATTACATACTATTGTGGACTAAAGTTTTATTTGATAAATAATCTGATTGTTTTGTACAATACATTTTTGTACGTCTCATAAGAGAAAAATGTAATTCGTGATATGTCGCGAAGCGGTTTTTTGAACATTATTATTTATCTTGAAGTTTGAGCCGACCGTGTATCTGTCCATAAACATAGCTATCAATCAATCAATCAATCATTTATTTGTATAAGTATACATATTATAATATAATATCATAATATAAATATAATACATGTAATAAATAATATATTCAACGTCTCACCTACTTTTTTGATGTCATCTAAAATAATATTAAGGATGTTTATTCCTTTTTTTGCAGATCATAACAAGAGGAGAATCTATAAATTACCTTCATTCAATGACCGACTTCACCATGGCAGGTTTGGCGAATACTGCAGCATTGTGGTCATTATATGGTAAAACTGAAATGGCATCTATAAGTTGTCAGTTGCTCCTGAATCTCAATACAAGTAAGTACATTAGTAACATATTAGGTATTTTACTATTACTATTGAATCTTATTGAACATTTGCGTTATCGAAAGAAAAATAATGAAGTTATCTTGCATTGTGAATAATTAAAACATGTAGAAAAAGTACGAAAAGATTGTCGCCGCTGTGGGAATCGAACCCACCTCTTTGGCATTCGCGGCCTGACGCTCTAGCCACCGAGCTAAACGGCTGATAGCCACAGCGACGAAAATCTTAACGCCTTCTTTCTACATTGTTAATTAGCATTTGAAGCAATGCTTGGCGCATCTATTGTTATATCCTTTCCAGCATACAAACAATTTCGAATATCGTTTTACAACGATGATTCGAACGAGAGATGTCGTCATTGCTTTTATAAATTTTAAAGTTTTTTTAAACAATTTTAGTACTTTTTCTACATGTTTTAATGTTCAATCTTAAGTGCAGAGTTTAGCACTATAAAAAAACTTTAAAATTTGTGAATAATTTCCTGTTGAGTGCTTAGGAAGAGGCTCATCTCAGTTTGCTAGACACCTGTCATTGCTGATGGTTTCTACTTGCCATCTATTGATTCTTTCCACAAATAATATACATGGATAAATGAAACTATTTTACGTATGTTATCGTGAGTTATTTTGATTTTAAACTTCCAACGTTTCTAACACTTTAGTGTTTATTAATCAAAACTTAGAAATAGAAAAAAATGTTAGTCTTAAATCCTGACTTATCACGTTCTCAGCGGTGTAGAAAAACATCGTTAGGAAACCTGCATGTTTTTGAAATAATAACAAACAAAATATTATGAAGATATGTGAAGTCCGCCAATCCGCGATGGGGTCGCGTGGTGGACTATGCGCTAATACCCTCTGTACGCAGTTCGGTTGAGGACTCTATTCAGAGGGCCTTGCTCATCCGCGCAGAGTGCAACGTGGGGTCGAGCAGCGTGTGGCACTGGTCAGAAGCGTGCGCGGTGGCGGGAGCGGGCGCGGCCACCGTGGCAGCGTGGCGCGGTGAGGGCGCGCTCGCCGCCGCGCTGCTCTCTCACTTGCACCACCTGCCGTCGCCGCCGCTCAGGGCCGTGGCGGCGAGGCACCGCGCCGGCGCCGCCCTACTAGCCGGTGAGTACGGCGTCATCGTGCTTGGCGTCACTTTCCTGCGGCCTTTCGCCCGACATCAACTCAAACCAGCACACGCAACCGCAAAGTTTTGTATTTATTTAGTTTGTCAAAATGACGATTCACAATATTACTGCCGGAATAGCTTTGTTTAGGAAAAATTATGAATTGTATATAATTACAATCATAAAAAATTGTAATTCGCAACTAGTAGGACTACAAACGTATTAATGCAGTAATGTAATTGCAACTAGGCTATATAACAATGTTAAGTCATTAGAAACCGTAAAGCATTTATTTATTAAAACAGTCTCACCAACTAAATGCATAAATAAAAAAATATAACTCTGGTGTGATGCACTTAAAAAGAAGTCTAACATTGTATGTGTGCCTATGTATGTAATTGATAAATCGATTCTAAGCTAAAAAGTTCGATCATAGTTCGGCTTGATGACCCTCCCCCCATAATATTGTTACGTGTTAGGGTTCGAAGGATTTGAAGAGAAACACCTCCTGACTCTTTTGAAGACTTTATTCGCTAGCACTAGGTCCAACACAAAGCACTAGGTCCAACACAAAGCACTAGGTCCAACACAAAGCACTAGGTCCAACACAAAGCACTAGGTCCAAACACTAAGCACTGACGATGTTCTAGGTTGTAGCCAACTCGTAGGTTTCACTGGTATCGCTCTTGATCACTAGTTTTCGCTCCGAAGTCGCCTCGAAGGAAGCTCAAACTGAACTGTCCTGGCTCGCCTCTCTGCGGCTTTTTATATGGGCCGAGACGAGCCCCAGACTAATCCAGAAAGTTCCTTCATGGAACGTACCCGACACGCGCGAACTTGATCGTGATTCTGGAAAGTTCGCGAATGTACCCGGTTTTCGAGACTATAGTTCCAGTCTTTGTTCGTTGAGCGGTTTACTGGTTGACGCTAGATGGCGCTAGTTTCTTTATGTGTTCGTAACAATATGATATTAAGAAGTTTAAAATGAGAAGTGTAACAAGATTTATTTTTTAGGCAAATGGGAGGAAGCCGATTTAAACATACGTCAACTAGCATCCTTTGATAGGTGGGAGAGCCAATTGCTTAAAGCAGAGATGTATTTTCTCAAAGGAGACGCCATGGATTCTCTGGAAACCCTGCAAGACATTTTGAACTATTGTAACACTGAAGACGATAGTCTACACTTCTCTTCATTAAAGCTCAAAGCAATGATTTTAATGTCTCAAGTGCAGCTATCGTACAGCAGCAGCCAATCGACCAACATTCTATTGTTGAATGAAGCATTGTCATGGGCGAAGAGGTACCATTTGCACTACCTATCGGCCACCGTAGAAATGCACATTGCTAATGTGCAGCTGCACATGGGGTGTGCGAAGAATGCTCTTGTGCTTGTTAGAAAAGTGTTGCCTGTAATAATGGCGCACGGTAGTGCGTATGACATGGCGAGAGGTATGTACCTCTTTTATATTGTTTGAGTATTTTAAGCACCGGTAGTAAAGCTCATTATCCCTCAACTTAAATTTCCTTTGTAAAAAAAAGTAAAGTAACAGCCTATACATGTTGCTGGGCAAAGGCCTCCTCTATACAGAGGCATTGTTATGGCATTGTCCACCACTAGGCTCACTGCAGATTGGCGGACTTCACATATCTTCCAAATATTTTTTTCTGTTATTACTTCGAAAATATACAGGTTTCCTCACGATGTTTTCCTCCACTGCTGAGCACGTGACAAGCCAGCACTTAAAATTAACAATTTCATTGGCGCCGGCACCGGGGATCGAACTCAGATCGATATCCTTTGTAATTATATTTATTAATTTAGTACGGTAATGAGTGTTATAGTTCGATAGAAAACAATGCTTTATCTCTGGCTATTTATTGTAGGGTTATTGCTGTACACCAAGTGCCGTATTGCCACTGCACCTCCCAGTGGCGAGGCTCGAGTACTAGTGTTTCAGTCATGCTGTGAAGCATTAGAATCCGTCAAAGAGAATTTTTGCAAAATTGGCGCACAATTGCGATTGTTACAAACCTGGTATATACAGGTAAGATTGAATTATAATAATATAAAAAATTGTATTCATTATTTACCATACAACATACTGTTCTAGCTAATTTAAATAAAACCTTTATTATGTAATACGTTTGCTACGTGCATATATCCTATTAAATGCTCGTGAAATTATTTATAATTTTCCATTCCATGCATTATTAATTGCAGGCGAATACTTTATTTTTGGTATGTTCCTTTATTGAGTTTAGAACTGTAAATTTCAGTTGGTATATTTATTTTTCATAATTTAGATGATAATAATGTAAAGTAGTTTGCGTGCATTTACATGGAACGTTTTTAATTTCTCAGGCACAACTATATAATGATGTGGGCAACATCGCAGGCAGAAATCAGTGTGCGTGGATGTATAGACAATTAGAAACCCAAAACCCTGTGGATTTATCAAATATGTTACATATAATGTACTAACTTTTTTGTTTTATTTTGCTCATCGTATTTAAATTGGAATATGTTTCCAATTTAAATACGATGAGCAAAATATACGTATACGTTTTTTAAAAATAAAAACGTTACTTTTAAATAATTACAAAATTTATCCAAGGTACACATAACAATCTAAATATACTAAGAAATGAAGGAAACGCACGGACGGAATAATGAGTTAGTTTTCGCAACAGTATCACGCATGTTATTAGTAAACAAATGCTTGCTTGTGCATAAGCATTGCAATTCAGCAAAATATATCAGTGAAATGAAAAGATATACACAACTCTTTTCACATTGTTATATTTTATATAAAGTAGTTCACTAATGATGTACTTAATAGAATTTTTGCCAATTCAAGGAAATAAAAAAGTTAAATTACTATCGATTTCAATCTGTAACTAACATCATATTTACGTTTTAGGTTAAATAAATGATATTGATAAATAATGATAAAACAAATACTACACAAATAAAAAACAGTTTTTTTCTTTAACGTTGGGTAAATTTTTTATATTATCTAAATTTTACTGTTCAATATTTAAATATAAAAATATTACCTGATTTTCACTGTTCATTGTCCTTGACATAAATTATAATTTATAAAGGTATGACGTCTAATGGCGAAAAATTTTTCTTGAATACATTTTACTGACTGATTTTTTGTTCTATCACTAGAAAAGTGTACTCGATTTCTAAACGTGATTTTTTTTGTTATTGGCCTTACTCCCCAATATAGGCCTTATCCCATGTCAAAAATTTTACCGTAACATAAATGCCGTCGAGTGCCTTCCAAAGGTGTACCAAGTACAAAATTCAAGGTATTTCATATCATGTACATAATGCAATATATCTTAAATTTATCATCATTTTCATAATATTTAAATTAATGTAGGTTAGAAAACAAAGTGGCAGCAAATAGGCCGTGAATGTCGAAGACGTGGGTTCGATTCCCACAGTGGCGACAATCTTTTCGTACTTTTTCAACAAATTTTAATGTATTAAACATAACTAACTAAACTTAAATGCAGAGATTAGCACTATAAAAAAAATTAAAAACGCTTTACTTAATATACGCTTCTTCTTCGTCAAGCAAGTCTATCAAATCTTACAAATTAAATTTGATCCACTTCCCGGTTACTGATTGAGCTGAAATTTGGTGACATGGTGCTGATCTGACGATGGGGCTAGAAGGTGGAACTTCGCAATGAAACGATACTACCCCATCGAGTGTCGGCCTGCTTGAATCGTCTTGACGAGTAATTTGGTGCTTAGATGGATAATAAATAATTAAACGACACAACCGCGTCGAGGTTGATTCGTCTTAATGGGTGGGCTGTTTTAGATGGGCGGTGAGTGGTGGTTTGGTGGACATGAATTTATGCATTCTTTGGGGAATAAAGTTCGTTCGTTCAGTTTGTTGTTGTTGTTATGAATGTGGATTCTGTCTTTGAATATATGGAATACTAGCTGCTGCCCGCGACTACTTCTGCGTAGAATGGGCTGAAGGCGTAACATTTAGACAGAAAGACAGATATACATAAAATATGTGTATAAATAGCCTATGTCTTATTCAGATGTATAAGCTATATTATCGTAGTTTCATTAAAATTCATTCAGTAGTATTAGCGTGAAAGAGTAACATCCACCCATACATACAAACTTTCGCCTTTATAATATTAGTAAGGATGTTAATTAAAATATAAAATGTTAAAAAGTTTAAAATAAAATTAAAAGAAAAAAAAACTATAAAAATAACAGCTTGTATTTACATCCTTACTGTTTTTTTCTTTTATTTTGCCATGGCATGCATTCATCTTTGAAGTATCTTATAATTTAACCAATCTTTATTCTATTGCTAAGTACCAGAAGCGTTGACAACCTTTTGAAAATTGGGCTCCGGAGTGGGGTGCACTGACCAGACGAAACGCGAAAGTATTATACTTCCACTTTATGCCGGTCTTCTGTGAAGTCGTTGTAACCCACTCAGACGAGCCTGCCCATTCGTGCAACAGCCGAGGCTGTTGCGTGGCCGTACCACCGTTAAATCATAATTTAATACTTGCAAATAATTATAAAAAATAATAAAATGGATATATCAATCCCACGGAAAAATTGCCCATTTGTTTTATGACTACACTCCATCTGTTAAGGTTTTGTGTTCGGAGTAATGATTTTAAAATGTCACAATCGTAATAAAACTAGTGTCGTAATTTTATATTATTCCTTGAATTTTTTTCTAGGGTTTAGTATTTTTCTTACACCATTTCACATGACGAGATACCGTTATTTTATTTTTTTACAAACATAAATTAATTCTACCCGCAACCAGACTGCCTAGAGTAACTAATTTTTTTATGGGACAATGTATACGTTTTTACAACAAAATCCCAGAAAACGTTCGTTCAAAATGTAAGTGCTTGTTCACGTAGGATCACGCGGGCGCGGTGGCGAGTGCGGGGCGCGGTAGACGTCGCGATCTCGTGTTCACGTTAGGCGTTTGCGCGAGCGTGACGTGTTTTCAGAGGTAAAAAACATTGACGACGATCTTATATTTTTAACCGAAAACTAAAACTTTATAACTAAAGTGGAAAACACTAAAAATTTGAATTGGTGCAACAGATTAATAAAGAAAGAGAATGGTATGGTTAATTCTATACTTTATACAATAATTTGAGAGAACATAAAACTGTTAAAAGTAAACTGTTTTTATTACATACTGTATTCAATGAGTAGTGTCATTTCAAAAAAAGACATAAAAAAACCTGCTATCATTTCTAGGGACAAGTTCAAAGTGGTTGAACTTACCTGACGTCACGAGTGAATATCGCGCTCCGCCGCTAGGTCAACGTGAACACGTACAAACGTGTATGTGAACACGCACAAACATGTCAAGCGTTTGATAATGCCGCAAGCGCCGCGCGCGCGCCAGCCGCTAGTTTGCCCGCACGTGAATATCGTACGTAAACACTTGGATGCCAAGTCATATGTTTGATATTTCGGGATCGCGCCCGCGAGTTAACGTGTTCAAGCACTAAAGGAACGTTTGTGTGTTAAAGGCTATCAATAATATACCTATATAATGTTAGTGATTATTTAAATGACACATATAATGTTAGTGATAATAGTCGCTCCAGGCTCTTTCTGATGATGTTGATGTTGACTTTAATACATTTGTAAACATGTCTTTATTTGATAAAACAATGGTATAAAAATAAAGTCCCGCTGAGATTTTTCGCCGGTTCTTCTCAGGTCAGTGGCTTTTCTTTCCGAACCGGTGGTAGCGTTTTGACATTCAATAAGGAAGTGTAATGCTTCTATATTGAATAAAGGTATTTGATTTTTGATTACTCGATGTAAATAGTATCTACAATTACGCCGTCATGACGCTCAATAGCGGGCGATCAGCTTACTATTTATATGGTCGTAAATGTTGGCGTGAGGCCTGTATGTAAAAGCGGGGGCATGCATGGGGCTTTTACATATTATGATTCAATTTCGATATTTGTGGTGCGGAGTCTTTTATTTTTATTAGTCAGTGAGTTTGAAATGAAGTGTTCTACGGATATATTAGCTCTTCGGAAAAGTATATATTTTCTAGCACTCACTCGGGAGTTACACAACTCTAACAACCATTTATTCGGATACCTATTTTTTTTGTTAAAACCTTTTATTAAAACATTAAATCATTTATTTTCAATATAATTTATCGTTCAATAAAGCTTTTTGTATAATTTCCGACATAGTCACTTTGATATCCCTACACAAAACTTCTGCAACTAACACTTTCGTATCACCTTGTACATCAGATGCAACATAAGCTCCATCTCCTAAAATGTTTGTGTCATTCCAACAATGACCTAGAGACGCCTGTGATTCGCATATTCTGCCTAGTTGCAATAATAAAGAGGTAATATCCTCGAGTAGCGATGGAAATGCTGTACAGATTCTCACAAGGGATTTAAGAATCGGTTGAAATAATTCAAGGCGTAAGTCACTCGGTAAAACAGATAATAGAGTGGATAATGTGTTTACACATAATCGGGCGATGGACATTGCTTTTGGTAGCGCATACTGTATTGACAAATGAGAAACAAGGTCTACTGCGAATATTTGCTTCTCTAAAGAAGCTTGGCTCAAGAGTTCAGGGATAAAATCCAAGCATATATGCATTGAAGGAATTCCCTGAACGGTAACTGGCAGTAATTCTCTTGGATATCCTTGAAAATGAACGAGTTTGGCTAACGACGGTTCCGATATGAAAACTTGATGAAGAAATGAACAAATTATGCTTCTTACTTCTCGGAGTGACCACATTAGCTCTGGTTTAGTCTGATCTTCATTTGTTTCTAAACAAGCCTCTAATAAAATTTGTAAAGCGGCACTCTCTTGGGCAGCAACCAGAGCATTTTTCAATTCTTCTCTTTCTGAATCAGATGTAAGTTGACCACTTTTTTCAAGCAAAGGTTTGTCTAACAAATGTCTGCTTAGTTGACTCCTTGATGCAGCTAAGCTAGCTTCTAAAATCCTTAGTATTATTTTTAATATTGGTCCACATCTAAAAACCCTGATATCGCAGCGTAAAACTTGTAATGGATCTACTAAAACATTTTCTTGAGTAATTGTTACATTTCTCCCGTTCCCATTAATATCAAGCAGCGCGTTAATAGTCATTATCCAAAGACATCGGGGAAGAACAGTGTTCAGACGTAACCAAACTTCTCGATACAGTTCTTGTATGTGCCTTGGTACTTGATCGCTTAATACACTTTTAAAATACTTGACAAATATTTCGGCAAACGGCCATATGTCCGTCGGGTTTTTGCTGAGCATAGCTTTGAGGATTTTTCCCGTTTTGTATGGATTTTCTTCAATACATTGAAAGGCTTCATTTATGGACATTTCCGATAGCTGAACATCTATTTGGTGACGACAGGAATCTCCGAAAATCTGATCATCCATCCAATCGTCAACAAGGGATAGCTGAGGGAAATGGGTTGCTAATAAGCGAAGAAGCGGGCTAAACAGTCCACCGTAACTCATTTGATCTTTTTGAGCTTGATGTAGCAAATATTTTATTGGTAGTTCAGAAAGGAAAGCCGATGAATAACTTTTTATTTTTCTACCATTAGCGATAAGTGTTACTGTATTTGAAAGTCTTACGTCTTCATAAAGTAATAGATAATATATAAGTAGTAACTGCGATGCCAGCGTAGGTTTTTCAATGTTTATATCAACTGATAATTCCGCCCCATCCGTCTCCATTGTAGAAAATTGCTTGTTTTGTGAATCAAAGTTCACACCAAATATTGAATTTCTAAATACTTTCCTGATCTCTTCCTCTGTTATGGGCTTGTTAACATACTCCGTGGTTCCTTTATTATTTATGACTAATATTGAACTAACATATACTTCAACTAGAGCTGGCATAACTGGGTGTAAAGGCGCTGTACAATTGCAGATTTGTTTGTATATCCAATTTTTAATGGGCACTTTGTGCTTAGAAAATGCACGTGATTTCAGCAACTGATGGATACAATGTACAGGTAAATATCCTGGTATATTGCTGTTTAAATTTGCTGTTACTGGTACTTTCACAGCGTGAGCTGTAACAACCTGTAATTTAACCAATACAATTTGAAATCATTATTAACTATTTTAAAAAGTTTTATGTTATAAAGCAAAATGTACCTGCTCTGTAAATATTTCTTGTGTGAAGGCCTGCTTGATTCTAGCTAACCCGTTTGGACGAACGGGCACGCGCATGCCGAGAGTGGCACAAACTAATTCACCTACTGCTGCTAGCTGGCCCGAGTGAAAATGAATTGCAATCAACAGAAGCATTTCTCCAAATGACGCCGTAACACCTGAATTGCTAAAAAGATACAATAGTTAATCTCAATAGTGAAACAATAAAAATTTTAGAGAAATAAATACTAATATCTTGTATTTACGCGATTACACATTATTAATGAAACAAATTTTTACGGACGTATCGCGTTGCTTTTTAATTTTAATTTCTGTCAGTCTGTCCCGTGACCTTGAACGCTGTAGAGGGTTCAAAACGTCGGGAATTAAAATTAAAAATAAACGCCATAAATCCGTAAAAATTAGTTCGATAGATAAATACTAATTACTATTTACCTTTCAAAGTATGCCTCTTCTTTGACCAGCCATTGAACCCATTCTATAGCATTTTTCTCATGTTCTGATGCAGCTGAAGATTTCAAAATGGTAGAAAATCTAAGCATTGTATGATTGTAGTAAATAGAACAATATTCGCAAGAAAACTTACCCATTAGAGATGGACATGCAAGAATCATACAAAGACTTAAAGAAACAAAACGAACACCAGCAGGTGTTGGTGGAGGCTTTTGAGTAACCAATCTCAAAAGTCCGGATACTTCATCGTCCTGGAATTTTATCCCCGCAATCCCCCTAAGGGCACAATATAGTCTCAACAAAGCAGATGCATCAACACCTGCAGCAGCCACCTTTAACCTGTTTAGTAACTCTTGTCGAAATTTTATTAATGCTGCATTACCATCACCCTTTCCCCTTTTATGAGAATTTCTAAGAAATGTAGCAAACCATCCCCTAGTTGTTTGATCAGAACCTAGTAAAAGGCCTGATATAAAAGGAACCTGAAATATAAGGCATATATAGTTGGTTTAATGGAACTTTTTTATGGATTTCATTGCTTTTTAATTTCTAAATTTTCGACGTTTCAAACCCTTTTGAAGATATTGGGGCTTTATCATCAGTTTGGATCTGATAATTTATAAAATTTAATTTAAGCACAGCAACACTGCAAGACCTCCAGATACTATAAGCTCCTTTTGCGTAGATCCGAATAAAAATAAATAGTACAAATACTTGACGGCCATTTAAAGACCATAGAAAGGTTCCACGATTGGCAGCCTCATACTGGATATCGCAACCTGTACAGGAAGGCAAGGTGGTTCAGGATCATAATTCGTGGCAGTCTATGGGGGAGGCCTATATTCAGCAGTGTATTTAAGCAGCAGTTACAGGTTGAAATGATGATGGTGAATTGACAGCCATTAACACCCAAAAAAGTTTGAAACATCGGTAATTTAAACATCAAATTAAAACAAGAAAAGCATATTTAGTTATTAGAAATGCTTTTAATTTCTACTTTGCTATAAACAACTTAAGGTTTTAACAATTACAATGCTAATAACAGTTTTTAAAAATACAATTAATTTCATTTGTACTAAAATAAATCCAATTTCCATTACATCTCATTCTAATCACCAAACTTTGTAGAGTGGTATTTGGGATAAAGTATTTCTTACCAAGCCATCTGGGTGATGAATTAAAGTTAGGTTTAAAACTAATGCTGGTAAACGACAAGCCGAGACTGCTTTGGCTCTTACAGTTGCAGCTAAGTAAGGGCACATTGCACAGAGGCTTATTAAAGCTTTTGCACGAATACCACCTTCTTCACCTTTTTCAGCGCTCACAACAAGGGATTCAGCAACTATAAATAATGAAAATTATGTTTTTCTAAAATAAAATAAATAGATTAAAATTTTACTGAATATGTTTAATAAAAATAATGAAAAATCATGTGAATAGAAGAGAATATTATATTTAGGAAATATGATTTACCTTCATATAGTGTGTCAGGCATGTTAGCTACAACCCACGATATTATAATTGGACCCTTGTTGACATGAAGCAAGACTTCTACAATATCTGTTATATTTAATAAATTTGGTAACTCGGCAAGACTTATGCAAATAACATCTGTTATTTCTTCCAAATAAACATCATTGTCAAAAAGCTCTGAAGGTTTGACTGAACAATCACTGTTATTGTTTTTATTTTGTTGACATTCTGCAATCTGGGCTTGCATTTGTAATATTTCTGATAACACCAAACGAACTCTTCTGGCAGAATCTGATTGCTCGAAGTCATTACAAATTCCATTTACAACATTTGGAATTAGGAAAGATTCAGTGTTCTGTGTACCACTTTTCTGCCTAAACAGAAATTTAATATGAAATCATTTGTTTCACTTTTCTATATTTACATATTTTCATTATCTCAATAAAAATTTATTAGAAATATAATTATGTCTGCACTACAGACAGTTTAAATTATAAATAAATCAAAATATATTAATATGTACAAAATTCATATATAAACCATAGACTGTTCTTTATACTTGTAACACTCAAGTTGGAAGTTGACCGTTAGATTTAAATTATATTCGCTTATGATCGGTTAACAACTTGCAGTCAAAATTGTACTTTTGCACTGAGTTCCAACCGTAACAGGTACACAATCAAATAAGAACTTAATTATTTTAACTGAAATTACATTAATATAACACCTTTATTAGTGTTATTTTTTTCTTCCTTGTTCTATCCTGAACAATTATAAATGCAAGATTTCTTTAAAAATGTAGTGTTTGATTTAATTTTTAACATACATCATGAACACTATAATCAAGGGCTACAAGACTTATTACTGGCACAGGATTAATTTGTTGTGAATATTCTGTACACATAGGTTGTTACGAAACTCGGTTCCTGCACTTACCTCATCTGTTGTTCCTTTTTGAGATCCACTTCCAATGTATGAAATTCAATTGACAGTAATGACACTATGAAATTTACCAAATCAATTCCAGACAATAATGTCAGTATTTCCTTTTTTGCTTCTGAACAGTATAGTGTTACATCTACTGGAGAAATCAAAGCCATTCGAACAAGACATGGAATAATTGGTCGGATTTCTTCTGTAGAGCATTTGATAAGTGTAGGAACATCGACATCTTTAATAGCTTTAAACACATGTGGATGAACAGGTTTCAAGAATATTGGATCCATTATTTCGAAGGGTTTGAAAAATTTTGCTATATTATTTTTTAATAATATTCAAACTTTATTATTCTCAACAGCAGTTTTAGGTTAGAAAACTGTATCAGGATTCCAGCATTGTGTTAACTATGGTATGAAAATTTCAAAAATTAATAGTACATCCACTCATCCACCAAAAAAAAAAAAACAATTCGATGAATTTGAATAAGTTTAACTTTGGGATTTCTTCTACGTAGTATGGGACAATTAGTTCACGCAAGTTTTTTATTTAACCACGCAACCGATCTTGAAGCGTTTTTTTTAATTAAATAGAGTGATTCAAGAGGAAGGTTTATATGTATAATACATTGCACCCGTGCCAAGCGGGGGCGGGTCGCTAGTTACATATATAAGAGCTGAGCACAGTAGAGCTGAGCTGAAATCAGTATAACATGACAAAAATATTATACAATATTCAATCAAATGCGTTTATTTATATAAAAAAAAGATTCTTTTCCTGATGTTATTTATTTATTTAAACATTTACAGTTACCAACAGAATTATACTATGTATAGTATTAATTTTCGGGTGTTTTTCGACCTAAAAAAATTTATTCGGTACAGAAAAAATCATTAATAAAATACTCACCAAGCAGAGTTTGGCGGTCGCTTATAGTTGTTTTTTCTTATGCTGTGCTCAGACGCTGAACTGTCATGGCAATATCAAAATATGTATACTCAATGAAAATCTTTAAAAAGTAAATTTTTGTAGATAAATGAACAAAAACTTTTGGCGCTGCGAGATTTGAACCTGAGTTTTTCTGGTTTCGCACTCAGACGCTTTAGCAACTAAGTTAAGCGGCTGATGGCTTGGTTCGATAACTTACGAAAGTGCGTTTCTGAACAACGTCACGTAAGATTAACTCCATTTAAACTTAAGTTAACCTTACTGACCAATAAGTGCCGTTTATCGGATCTATAACTCTATTTGACCTTTTATTTCATAGAAAACTCAAGTTTTTATTTAATTCGTGTTATATTAAAATAAATTACCGGTGAGACCTAGTATTAATTATATTTATTTGTTAAAATGTCATCCAAGCTTGTTTCTTCGCCTCTATTGAGATCCCATACGTCTTTTTGTTATTGGTTACAGATATAAAGTCCTTGGCTACTGTGATAAGTAACATCTCTATTTCAGTAAATATTTTACTACTTATTCTAAACTCCATTATTGTTTTTTTTTATAAAAGAATAGTTAAAGTTAAGCAACGTTAGCCAAGATCATTAAACTACACTTGTAATTCAAACAATAAATAAAGTGAACTAATATTACCACCCCCAAAATTAAACGCCAAAACCTACTAGCTACTATGAGTTTTTGACAATCATTTCGTTGATACATTCGCTGATAAATAGCAAACATAACAAATTTACTACTAAAACAGCGCCTAACAAATTATTTACCTTAAAAATATTATTATAATTAAAAATAAAGAATAAATATAATTAATTTAAATTAAATCTAACTTTAATTAATTGAATTAAACTTATGGAATTAAACGACCCATCTAGCGGGGGAGATAACGAACTACTTATCGATTCCATCGTAATTATTGAATAGTTCGTTGAGTGTTCAGAAACAGCAGATCGAAGTATATAGTAT